TAGAATAATATTCAATTAGGCTAATGGCTGCTGCTTGCATTGTTCGGTGAGAAGCAGTGATTAGGAACCTCCGTGTAGGGCTCAGTCTGCATTCATTCCTCCTGCAGAACACCTGCACCTGCCTGCCGTGCCTTGGAAACCAAACCTTTGTGTGCAGGGCAGCAAAGGGGAGGAGGATGAGCTTTAACCTGGACACCGGAGGCTGCAGCGTTTGTGCTGCCCATCTGTCAGAAATGACCCCTCGTAGCAGGGATACTCCAGGAAAAAGGCTGGGATGAGGAAACAGCCAGGGGAATGTTGGGGGAGAGTGGGGTGAGTCTCTAGCAGCACACCCAGGGCAGGGAGACTGACACCTGAGAAATGGGTGATTCCACAAAGTGGCTGCACTGAAATGATGTTTGCAGAGTAAGGAAATAGCTGAAGTTCAGCCCTTTAGCAGGAAGGAGGAAGGAAAGGAAATGAGGAAGAAAAAAAGGTCAAAGAATGCCATTGCTTTGCAAAATTGTTTGTGTTTGCTAATCTTCCATAAACACATAATCCCAGTTGTTTGTTCTTGCCTTTGGGTGACTGAATGGTATCTCTTACCTGATATAATGGTGGAAAATGCAGTTTTCTCACACTCAAGCTTCATTAATATGTATTGGAAAACCTCAAATGTTATTCAGCCACGAGGGGGGAAAAGTACAGAATTGCTGTGGATTATAATAATTTCAGCAAAGCATCTAATTTATATATTAAGCTTGCTTAATGGATTTATATTGCCTTGCTCTTTGATCTGAAGCAAAAGGTGGTGAATAATTTATCAAATAAAAAGCCCTCCCCTAGCCCAGCCCACACGTCACAATCTGCCCTGTAATTTACATTTTTTAAGAGATGCCGTTTCCAGGCAGAAGAACTGGTTCCTAAAAGACTCCTTCTAATATTACAAATGTATTTTTGTGAGCTACACTCTGGGGAAAGAAATAATAATGAAGGAATGCAATTCTACAGACAAATGTTCCAGCTCTCTGCCTTCCTCACTAAAGACACTCATTTCAGCTAAATGCCAAAAGGCATTTAACTGTAGCATTTGTCAGTGGAATAGGGTTGCCTTTAGGTTTCCCTCCTGATTTACAATTGAGTGTTTATTGGGTTTAGTGTACTGTAGCATGTTTTGTTAACCTCTAGAAAAATGCATGCAGCTCGTGCATTAATCCCAGGGATGATACCTGTCAGGAGAGCCTGGGCTGCTCCCACAGGAATCCCACAGCAATCAGGCACTGGGATTAGCTAAACTGGGATTAGCTAAACTGGGAGCAGCTAAACTGGGATTAGCTGAACTGGGAGCAGCTAAACTGGGAGCAGCTCCTGAGTGCTCTCTTGTGAGATGCACAGTGGGTTTCTCCATGTCTTTGGTTTTCATGCTAAAGGAGGTGAAAGTGCTGGCAGCTGAAGGGAGCTGGGTGAGCTGCCACAGGGTCACCTCCTAAGGAGCGTTTCGGTCACTGTGGTGCTGTTTAAAGCACAATTCTTGGGAATTTTGTGCCTGGAGCTCCTCAGCTGATTTGTGCCTACCCATGGGAGTAATTCCTCAGCAATCCCAGCTCCTGGTTGCATCCACAGCCAACAGCAGTGTTGGCACTCAGAGCTCTCTCGTGGCTCCTGACACATCTCCCATTCACTTTTCCTCCACATTTGTCCAAACCCACGAGTTGTCAAACATTTACTACGGCTGTGAGCAGCGTTTATTCATATTTAAATAAAGCCATTATCCCAGCCTTGAGTTCCAGTAGTTTTCGGCTCTTCCTCTTGAGTATTTCTCTCAGTAGTGCCATCTAATCAGCTTTAGGTTTTAATTAAACAGCTGTCATTTGCTTCCTAGTTCTGTTGCGACCTGATGTTGTATTAAATTTTAATTTAGCCTGGGCTGCATAAGAAGTAGATTCCTTCAGACAACAAAGAAATGCTATTAGCAGGCTACAGTTGTAATTAAGAGCAGCTCTGCTGAAGTGCTGATGCATTCAGGTACAGAGAGAGCTGCAGATAAACACACACACTACTATTATTATTATTATTATTATTATTATTATTATTATTATTATTATTATTATTACTATTAATATTATTCATATTATTAATATTATTTCTATTATTAATATTATTACTATTATTGTTATTATTGTTATTATTATTATTTAGGGATGGAGCCTGTGATATCAATGTGTAGCTCCCACCCAGGCTGGTGACCTGAAGGACTTGGTCAAGATGTGGCAGCTGAAACCCTCAACAAAAGAAATGGGAAAGAATTCCCAGTTTTTTCACCTTGCAGTGCCCACAGTTAGAGCACTGTGCTGGTGCTCCCTGGGTGTTGCTGCTGATATTTCAGTGTGCCATGGGAGGACCTACCCATGTAAATCAGCGCAATCTCTACATTCTCTCTATATTCCAGGAGCACTTTTCCTGCAGTAAAACCTCCCATGGAAATGTGAACCAAGCTTTAGAGAATTTAGATGAAATGTTATGACTTGTTGAAGAAGCACTAAAAAGTCTGTTTATAAATCTACTGGACAGTCAATTAGTTCATATTTCTTCCTCAGAGGAAATATTATTTTTGCAGTCTATAAATAGCCAGCTCTTTAGAAGGCCTTTCCACAGCCTGTTATATTTGTGTAACACTCACTCCAGGCATCAGGCACCTGAAATATTGATTTCTCTGGTGGAATTGCTTCCCAGTGAAGTGCAGGGCTTGTGGGGCTGCACCAGCTAATTGGCACGGTGGCTTCAGGACAGTTCTGGTGCTTGTGCTTGTCTCATGCTCATCTTCACCAGGAGTTTAGGACAGCAATGGAAATGCCTTTATCAACTTTACTTGGTCCTTCAGTGCATCAAAGTGTGGCTGCAGCTTTGGCAGCTGAAGAGCTCTTAGGCTTCAAAGGAGGCTGGAGGTTTGTGCTGTGCCTCCAGGGATGGTCAGCACCCCGGTGATAGAACAAACAGCACACAAAACAAATGAGAAATAATAGATCAGGCTGGTGAGGAGCTGGTTCAAGGCCACCAAAGTGCAGGGAATCCTGTAATCCCTGACTGGACAGAGCTGTGGATCAGGCTGTGACTGCACACAGGCACTGCCTGCCTGACCTGGAGGAGCTCTCAGCTGAGCTAGCACAGAGTGTGGAAGGGGAATTTGTTTGTGACCTTGGCCAAAAATAGATTTTCCCCGGGTGCACTGAAGAGCATCTCTTGTTGGACAGTGTTGGAGAACTGTTCTTTACGAGCTCTTTGACACAGGACCACCAGGTCTGCATGAAATATCTGATATTTGAGGGCTTAGGATGTATGGGATATTTGCAGTGGTGAAATCTAACTACCTCTTCTGTGACTTGTGGATGAATTACCTCCAGTTTCTCTTTGTCTGTCTTAGAAAACCTTTTTCCACCTGAGGTGCACCTAAGTGCTTTCTTTCACCTGCCAGTGCATTTTCTCCTCAGCCTTGTTCAAATCTCAGTCTTTGTAAAGGGTTCTCAGTTATGTTTTCACACTTCCACTTCTGTCACATACTTCTCTCTTTGCCAGTGTCCCTCTCTCCTGGCTGGCAGCTGGTTATAAATGAGCCCATTCAGCAGAAACAAAAACTAGACAGTCATTTACTGTGTAAAACATCTGGTTTGTGCCTCGCAGAGAACAGAACAAAGCCTGGACTCATTTCCTGAGGTGTTATTCCAAAAAGCCTCTCTGCTCAGGATGACTCTTAAATCACATTGAAGTGTGAGTGTGAAGCTGAGCACGTCCTTTTAGTGCTGTTCTGATCAGGAATGGACTCGAGTGTGTGCTGGATGCTTTTCTGGGCCGTGGCTGCCCATAAACACCTCAGAGGCTCTCAGGGGTAGCTGGCACTGCTGTGATTAGTGCTGCAGCTCATTTAATTCAGGGCTCTTTTTGTAGAAGGTTCCGAATATTGATTAATAATACATCTTACTTGCAAGTATTTATTGGTCTTCTCCAGCTGTCCTTAGCTTGTGGTCAATGCCCATTATTCTCTATCAATCTAGGCAGCAGGCAGAGCAAATGATAGTGAATATATCTCCCTATGCAAGCTGCCATCAGATTTTTCACTAAAATCCATTCCTTCTTCCACCAATTCTAATAATGGAATTTAAAGTTAGATTAGTTTGAAGCAACTTCTTTTTATTTTTTTTTTTTACCCCTCCCCAACCAGCAAGCAGTTTTATGGAAGTTGAAAAATGAAAAGGGGATTGATTCAGAGCAGTATTTCCTATTTTTGAGAGGGCTGAGATGAATCTCTGTGAAATCCCAGATCATTCCTTGCCCCATTTGTGTGTCAACTTTTGGGCTGGCAGTCAGCACTGCTTCTGCAGAGCCTGTTCCCCCCCAGCCTGCACCTGCTTATGCCAGGCAGGGGCCTCTGTAGCAACTCATTTGGAGTAATTAATCAGACTGCAGCCACACCAAGACACAGAGGAAGGCTGTGTTAATGGAGTCATTAGAGTGCCAGCACTGGGAATTCATCAGGATTACAGATAAATGTGGTTAAGCGTCTCTAGGTGGGATTTTGATGGGGGAAGACTAAAAAAAAATGTATATAGATGCATAGTTTTTCTCCCAATGTGTTTATGGAAATAAATGGTCAACTCACAGCAGAGTTGGCTGGAGCAGGAAGAAGAAATGCCTTTGTCATGGTGGAAAATCATCTCCCAAACCCATCAGGGGCAAAGGAGCGGGAGGAGTTGCTGATGCCCTGGAGATGCTGCTGAGCAGTGCTGTGCTCACAGACTGCCCTGCCCTCGGCCACAGCTGCCCATGGGCTCACAGGCACCAAACCCGTGCCTGTCAAACCCGGGGCTTGGCCGTCCCGATGCCACTTTTGGCCGGGAAAGTTCCTAAAACATTTCAGGGAGCTCCAAGGCTGTGTGCAAGGGAGGGTCCCTGGCACTGCCGCGACCCCTGTGACATCCTGGTGGCGTTGTGCCCCTCTGACACCCATGGTGTGTTTGTGTGTGCCCCCCAGGACACGGAAATCCTCAACACAGCCATCCTGACGGGCAGGATGGTGTCTGTGCCAGTCAAGGTGGTCGCAGTGCAGGAGGACGGGGCCGTGGTCGATGTCTCGGACTCCACCGAGTGCAGATCTGCTGATGAAGACGTCGTGAAGGTGAGGCACATTCCACTCTGTGTGTCTTTATTCCTCCTCCAGCACTCTTGGTTTTCCTGGGATGTTTTTTCTCTTCTATTTACATATCTCTATATACACAAACAATGGGATGGGAATGCTGGAGCAGCTGTCTCAAAGCTTTATCCCATCACAGTCAGGCTCATTTCACAGAACCAAGGGGGATGGAGCAGCTTCAGCTGCTGGCACAGCACACCAAGTTCTCTTTGTCACAAACTCTTTTATCAACTTTCCAGCCAATAGCAGAAATATTAAAAGCTGACAAGTGTTTGCTCAATTAATAAATCTGAAGGTACATCTTGCTTTGAACAATGCTTGCTTGTAATAGCTTAAAACAATGGATAAAGCTTCATGATTAAACTTACATATTTCTGCTCCCTTGCTTAACATATTTTCCTCTCTCCACATGTGTCCTGGTGGAACCTCCAAATGTAGCCATGGAAAGGGGTTTTAACCCTTTAAGTGTGGCAGAAATAAAACACACAGCTACATGGGCGTCTGTCGTGGTAGGAAAGAGAGACACATTTTATTCAGAAAACCGCTTGTTTAAACAGAATGACTCACAACTCCGAGAGCAGAGAAAAGGTGATTGGTTCAGAGAGAAGACACCCCATGGCCAGGGCCTGGGCACACACCACAGCAGGGCTTCTCTCTTGGTATTAATTCCTTTTTATTGTGACCAAATGATCACCCTGGGACAGATTTTCCCTGACTTTCATCTGGACCAGTTTATCAGCTGGGAACAGAGCTCAGAAGCTCTGGCCTGGAATATTTTCCAGGCTGGCTCTCTCAAGTGAGTGTCCACATGTCCACAGCTCATCATCATCTTGTCCTCACATCTTCAGCATTCCTGCATTTCTCCATCCTGGGATTTGCTTTCAGCTCGCTGAGGGTTCTGTGCCTTTTCTGTTTCCCCTGCTGGGATTTTCCATCAGGCAGTGGTTCCCCAGTGCTGGCTGCTGCTGAGGAGGGAGCTCCCAGATGTGCTGCAGGGTCCCTGTGGCTGACCCAGAGCTGTTCCAGCTCCTTCCAGAAGGGTCTCTGCTCCTCTGGGCTGTCCTGTGCCCATCATCCCACGGCAATAATGCAGAATATTGGCACTCAGGACAGGGGATTTCCTTCGTGCTCGGGCTGCGTCACCAGTCAAGAGTTTATTATAATGAACTGTGCCCACATCTGGAGGAATAAAAAATAACAACCAGATTGCAAAAAGCATTAAAACCAGAGCTGTGAGCTTTTAAACAATATTGTGCTGTGTTTTAGTGTTTCTTTTTTCCAATATTACGTTCAAGTGGTTCTGTGTCCCTGACATTGCAGTAAAAATTGTGTTAATGTGACTTTATCAAGACTCTGCCTGCCTGACTTCTGACACCATTGCATGGCTTTCAGCTTTTAGCTCATTATTATTATTTTTAGGCATAAAAGAGGTGCTTTTGAATATCTTGAATGGATTAATTTGTTTTATTATGTGGTTAGGGGTGTTCTTGTTTAAAACGAACTTAAAAATTGACTACAGAGAATTCCTAATGGGGTGGGTTTTTTAATATTATTTATGGGTTCCATATTTTCCCTTAGGTATCTGATAGGAAAAGGAAAAAAATCTCATTTTTTTTTCCTGGAAACCAAATTTCTTTGAAGGTCCTAACCAAAGGAACGTGGATGAATATCTTTGTTTATGACTAAATTAATTGTCAAAGGAAAAGAATGCCTTGATAAATGTTGCTATTCTTTCTATTTTTTTCTCTGTGTAGCATACAGCTATTATCTGATTAGTGGGGATTATTTATCAGCTGATAAACATGAACAATCAATTGTATATTATAAACTCAAGTATCAAGTTGTATATCATCAATATATTGCTGAGACTTCTTTTTGCACTTCAGGAAACCAGATCCAAAAGATGGTGTGTGGAGGCTTTTATTTTTATTAATTGAGTTTCTTGGACTTGCTGTACTTTGAGAATACTGGACTGAACCAGACAGGATTTACAGTGATTTTTTTTTTTAAAATTATTATTTTTGGTAGTGACTTGAGAAAATCAGGTCTTCATTTGCCTGCTTTAGGAAATTATTTGGGTCTCAAATCACTGGCAGCAGGGAATGCCCCCAGGACCCTGGCCCAGACCTGGTACCTGTCTCTCAAATATTCTGACATCATGACCAACCCCACGAGGTCTGAATGTGGTCTTTGCTGGGTGGATATTGCCTCATCCCGCTGGTATAAACTGGCAGTAATGTTATTTTTGTGAAAATTGCAGCACACTTGCATGATTTCAGTCAGAAATTACTGAGACCGAATGCTGTTCAGGCATAATTTTTTTAACTGCAAATATATGTATTGGTTGCAAGATTGAATCCATAACAATTAATTAGCTGAGTTAAAATTTAGTACGGGGTTTATGTGCCGATATTTTTTCAGAAAAATGCATATTCCTTTTTACAAGCCCCTTTGGTAAAGTCAATATTGACTTTGCTTCTGAGTTTCTGTTGCCTTTTCCATCTAGGCTGCAGTGCTAAACCCTCTAATGAGAGTTTCCAGGCATTTTGGATCTAATTGCCTTATCTTAAGCTTCTTTTCACTGTTAATTCTGCCTTTATTGTTTCTTTGATACTGGAGACATATTCCTATTCTTTTGGGCAGAATAGAGTGTTGCATTCTTAACCTTTTATTTCTATTTAATAGCTAATGATTTAATAGCCAATTAATGAGACAATTCTTTGATCACTGCTCTAACATCATTATTTTCAGTTAAGACAGCGAATTGAAGCTAGATTAAATAAAAAACAAGCTTCCACCCAGGCTTTTATGTATTTATACCAAATGTGTTTCTCTGGGCAGGGACCTGATACTGCTCAGAGATGGGCAAAGAGATGAGCAAGTGATTTATTTTTGTGCCAGAGCTGTGAATCCTCCCTTTTCTCAGCCATCTATCCCCCAGCCTAACAGTTTAATTACTTCCCAACGAGAGAATATTTCAGCCCCTTTTTCCAAAGCCTACCTAATTAGTGGTAAATATAATAAAACACACCCAGGGTTTTTTGACCTTGTATTTTTTAGCACGATGTGATCTTCAAAGGAATCTGACAGAGGAACTTGCTTTAGTTCATCCCAATCCCTGCTTCTAGATTTGCACTTAAGTCTTAATTCTGGCCAACCCTTCCACTGGGACTGGCTGCCCTCTAAAATATTTTGATGGAAAAATTCCTGTAAGTCAATGAAAGTCTTATGCTTATTCCATTATTTAAAAGGAACATTTAATGCTGTTGGCATTTGAGGGAAAAGATTGGCTTTATGATTAAGGCACTGAAATGCTTCTCAGCATTAATTTCCATATCTCTTGCTGATTTCCTGTGTGACTGTGGGTAAATCACTCATTCCCCTTGGAATCTCGCTTCCTTATCTGCTAACAAGGACAGAAATTCATCCTTGTCCCCTCCTCCACCTGCATTATATGGTTTCCAAAACTTCTGTTGACTCTGGATGGCCAAAATCCTCATCTTCACCCCATTCACCTCTGTCTTCAGTCTTCTTCTGACTCCTCTCTTCCAGGACTTCTCTCCCTGCTTTTCCTGCAAACTCCAAATAAATACATCAGCTTGTGAAACAGAAAACACAGAAACGGTGGGAAGTTGGCAGAAGTTGGCTGCAGAAGGTTTATTGCAGGAGGAAATGGACCCTGAGGGCTTTGGCACGGGCAGCCTTTAGCCAGAAGCTCCAGGCAAGGGTCATGCCCCACCCCTGTGCAAGTGCCTTTAAAAGCCTGAAGTGCAGGAATTCCACATGAAGGAAAATCCTGAAGGCTCTGGAGTTTCATGGTAGTAAATGTAAACATCGCCATCAGCATCAAATGAGGAAATTCTAATGAGGACAGCTTCTCAGTCCAAATGTTTATCTCAGTAGTGTAACTGAAAGTGAGACAGCTGCCCAATTAATTCATCCTTGGATTAGTCATAATTCCATGTCCTCTGCAAGTTATGCACAAAGTGACTGATTGTTCCAATTAATCTCTGCAGTCACTCAGTGCCTTACACCATCGACTAATTTAACCTAATTTTTTTTTTTTTATTATTATTATTATTATTATTTTTGGAGGAGAAAAGGCTCTCAGTAGAACAGCAGGGAGTCTCCCCCTGCCCATTTCTGCCCACACATGGATGCAGTAGGAGCAGGCTCCCCGTGCCCAGCACTGGGAACAATGGTGTTCAATAATACCCCATGAACCCCATCTGTGCCAGAATGTGCCTTCCTCGTTATCTTGCTAGAGGAAAGCTCTTCAATGAATTATTTTTCACCTTTTCATAATTTCCTGTCTAATTATAATGAAAGAAAAATTAAAACCGTTCCTGCCCTCTACACAAACCTTATCTTGAACTCTCCATAATTAATGGTAAAACAATAGAAGACCTAATTTTCCTGGCAGCAGCCAGCCAGGCTTTCTCTAATGTGCAGAGAAAACCAGGGTAACAAAGGCAGGAGAGGTAATAGCTGAGATAGATAAAATCTGAGGAGAGTTCTTCCCTCTTCCAGACAAAGCAGATGAGTGACTGAGGACCTTGTCCAACAGCCCTGGGCACAGAGATCTCCAACCCCAGCACAAAAACTGCTCCAAGGATCCCACGGGCAAAAAACAAACAGGGAAACCGAGGGATACTGAGCTTCTCCAATTTAGATGACACTGGATTTTTGAGAACAATTCCTTGCTGCAGACTCACAGCACATTCTTAGGACAATTTACAGAAAGAAGCCTGCCCGGAGTTGTTAAATACAACTATTGATGCAGCAGCTCTGAAAACAAAGCCAGAGCTTGTAATTTGCAACTTCTGCAGCTGCTTTGCCATTAAAGTATGTGATCAAGAATGTGATGGTCTTGTACATAAAGCAGAGCTAATCTTGTTCCTCCATCTATCATATTTTTGAGAACCTATCACTGTATTTCCTAACAGCTTTATTTTGTGGTCACTCGTGCAGAAATCACCTTCCTC